ATAGTAGCAGGTACTCCTGATGATGTCTACTATAACTATTATACTATGTTATGTCCGTGCCCACCTTACACTGCTACTAAACTCGATTGCCCTCCTAGTTTCTCTTTGCCTGGCGGCAGACATTGCTTTGTATTTGGGGAACGTATGCCCCTGGCGGAGTTTTTGTCGACTAAAATTCTGCAAATTGCACCTAGAACGCACCATATGTATTTGCAACTGGCATGGATTCACTTCACGGAGAACAATTTTTTATTCAGTGTCCGCAGTTTCATTATTTAGGTTACAATTTTGTATCACGTATTATGTGAAATGCCAGCTTTGGCCGAGGGAGCCTCCAGGCTCCGAACTTTACTTACACGAAAAGCCTTCCCTGTTGTTCCCTTCAAGTCCTGACATTTAATCACCTCGTTGCTAATTCTCAACTTTCTCCGTTTTTAAACGTTCGCGCCATGCAGGTACTACGCTTTCGTGTAAGCCTTCTTTGCCTTCACTAGCTAAGATGAGTCTCTGGAGGAACAGAAACTTGACCATTAAACTTCATTCGAAAAATCTTTTTACCTAAAAGGTGCTTTTGTGAATTAATTTTTACTAGAATAAACTTGATTGATGTTCACACATAAAAACTGAAAAAATGCAGTTGAAACGTTACTCAGGTTCAAAGTCCGCCAGATTCGCTTTTACTACCCTTACATATGTATGTATATATATATATATATAGCTAGTACAAGTAAAAATGTGGTATTTCATTTATATGCAGATCACTGTGCCCCCATTTTTTAACGATTTTCCATCGGGACCGGTTGAAGGAACCAGTTAAAAACTACTAGTGTATTATTAGATGGTAATTCGCGCTATTGTTATTTGTTTGTATGCTAATTTAATATCTAGCTTTGTGTCAAGTCAACAGAAGTCATACTTTAGCCCAGTTTGTCTAGACGATTATATGGGGCGTTAGAAATAGAATCGGAATTTTTAACGATATGAATATACAGACAGTGAGTGATGACCCGTGTACAATACGCCCTATCAACCCATTATAAGCACCCGTCTAATATCTCTTTTCTAAATGCCGTCGATTCCCACACCCGATTCGAATAGACTCAGATATACATGCCGTAGTGCTCAGATGCGTCCATCCCGTGCATCGACCGCGTGCACCCAGCTTTGAACTCGACATCTTCCCCTAATTCAAAATTCACAAATTATGGTCAAAATTATGTTTGAAGGTAGCAGCAGCGTACGTGGCCTTGTTAGGAGACTGTACTTGTAGCTGTTATGTAAACAAACGGTTCAGAGGTCGAACTGTTCTGACCCGTACGGACTTTGTATCAGGCAACCCAACTGCTAAAAACCATTCATGATTTCGTTAAAATCTATTCGCCAGAAACTTAAATCGTTACATGCATATGTTATGTAGCATGAGAAAAATAAGGGCGGGTCGAAGATTCGTCATTGGATTGATCAGTAATCCAACTCGTGGTAGGCGATTACCTACTAACGTCTGTTCAACAATTCGACGGTCACATTGACTCTTATAACGCAACCCTTAGAGATAAACCAGAGTTAAGAGTTCGTTTACCCATCTGGATGAGTCCAATGATATAGTAATCCTCACTTATCTCAATCAGGTGAAATTACGATATTTTTCATGGCCGTTTTGTTGGCAGTATTGTTACTGAGTCTACACAATGACGACGTTCAGTTTACCTTAGAAGAGGCAGGAAAAGCGGGGTCTCAACCGGAACTTTTGACGGCTACGCTCCGAGCAATTTCAGAAGCTTCGATACATTATCGTGCACGTCGATACGGACGCACCTCCATTCCACTTTTACCATTTGCGCAACGACAACACTAACATAAGGTGGCAACTCCCGATGGCGATCCACTCCGCCCGTTCAACGGGTAATGACGTTATCTTTGTCGTCGAAGCGGTAGTGCCAGTGATAATAATTGTACACAGCAGATGTCACACACTGCGCCCCCAACCCTCGACACCATGAAGCCTTTCGTTACCACCTTTAGACCCGCAGATCCTTCCTGCTTGCCCCATCTGTTTGCTATTTTCCTCAATATCTGGCTAACATAATCTATGCTAACTTTACTCAACGTTCAAGGAATATTGCATTTGTGAAATTTGTTCGTTTTTAATTTTTTTTTACCTTTACTCATCCCTTCATTGAGTGCTTTTGTTAGTTTATGGTACGTGCGCCTATTGTCTCAGATCACTAATCTCCTTACGCGATGACGATGTGTTCCTGCCTGAACGAATCGGTTATATTAGCTTGATATTTCTCCACATTACCCTCTGCCTGTACATAGCACGGTTTTGGTAATTTTTTTTAGCTTAATTTCGTATGCACACTCTCGTCACTGGGTGCGTCTTTTTTCAGTTGATTTCAGTCACAAAATGCGCTTGGGACTTTTCTCCCTTTTGCGAACCCTTGTGCCCCCACCCCCGCGCAGCCGCCGTGGCGTTACTCGCGTCTCGTTTTATTCACCCTGCATTTCGGCCGTTCCTGCCGCTGCTGCTGCTGAGATCGCCGCCTCTTCCACAGAGCACGGAATTGAAGGAATAGTGGATCGCAGCATAATTAAACGACTTTAGTTAACGTATCGCTGCAGTACCTAGCACAGAATTTTTATGGAGGAGAACGTTAGTTAGCATCACGCGTCCACGTGACCATCTGATGGACATATACAGTAAATGAAACTCCGGGAACAGCGAGATAGAATAACCTCATAGCTCTAGGGCAACACCGCGACTGCCACTGCCGCTTCTCGTTCGGGCTACGTGGTTTCACATAAACTGAATTCGACTGAGGACCGAATGGGAAGTATAGCCGTTAGCTTGAGAATGGTCCAGGACTAGTTGATGGTTTCTTCATTAAAAACATCCAAATGAGCGACAGCTTGGATCAAAATGGCGGCGTAATACTCCTCTTTAAATAATAGCATACATTTATTCAATATTATTCTATATATTACATAGTGTACTTCGGCGAATACCGATACTGAAACACGATGGGCCGCTATCATCTACCTGCGTGCATGTCGATGAAATTCCTATGAAGCATTGAGGCTGGCACGAATTTTTCGTCGTTTAATTTCGGGGGCGTGAGCAAATACACCTTTGTCACGTAGTTTGTTATTAAAAATCAATCGAGAGAACATTGTGCGACATTTAGGTTGATCGCGGCAGGAGCGCGGCAAACGGACGAACGCTTTCCTCTGCTACTGATGTGTTATTACTCTCATGAACGTCACGACAATAACTAAACTCGATATGTCGATTTAGCGGCGCAGAGTTGAAGGGGTTTCCACCATTTAAGCCGTTCCATATGCATCATTCATTAGTAACAAAAGCCAGCCAGTAAAATGTTGTCCTTTTGACTAAGAATTCAATTAACGTTAAGGCCATTCAGCATATATCTGCTCGTAAGGCATCGCTAATCATAAACGACGACTATTTTTCAAATGGGCGAATGAACATCGCCGTTTTAGGCTCTCCTCATAAACGGACTGCTACGATTATCCTCGGCCAATAAACGTTTGGGTTTGACGGTGCGTTTCGGGTGAGCTAGTTGGCTGGTAGCGTCGTTTGATCAACGCTTCAGAGGCCAAACTAATCACTATAGAATATTTCATCGATACTAATTAACGATATAGAGAATGGCTTGTAAGACATGGTGATAGCTACAGAGGTTCGAGTTTTACTAAGACCGGCTGGAAAAGCTGGCCGTACTGCTCTAGCATGACTATTGAGGGTAGGCGTTAAAGTGCTGCAGCTTGTTCACTATCGATTTTATTGTCGAGCGATGATCTTCACCGTTTAGCACGTCCAGATAAACGACTAATAGCTTCCTTTGTCACCCCCCACCCGCTTTCCATTTTCAACTTCGTATCCACATCCACACAAACGCAGCACGAAGCAAAACGGCACGTTTATAATTATCATTATACTATTGCCCCAGGCTTCACGTTTTGCTGCGGGCTACATCGTAAGTAACAAGGCTTGCGTTCTATTATGTTTTTTTTCACTATGCGATGGTGAAGGGTGTAAACGTTACGAAGTAGCTATTGGAATTCGTCCGACGACGCCAGTACCCACTGTTATCAGTGAGGAAACAAGCAAAAATGCGTATATCGTACGAATGAAACACCCGTTTGCTGCCTGTATAACCCTCTACTCAGATCTAATATGTATAAATATATACGCGAATACTCGAATATAATTAAAATATAGTCAAAATCGAATACTAGGTCGTGCCCATTTGCGACGGATATCTGTCGAAAATATTATCGTGGGGCATACGGAAGTGGGCAATTCACTTCAGTTCATAGAGAGCTTAACGTGAAATCGTACTCCTTCTTTTTTATGTACATTATGTCTTTGTATAATCTTGCAGGCTTATTATTACATGTATGTACATATATTCATCCGTTGGTGTTTTTTGCCTTAGTGGAGAGGGTTATGGCCACTAGCGTAATCCTCGATACCATACCACGCAACCAAATACGTGCCGGGCGTATTGTCTGCTGCACGAGACAGCTATGGTACGTATGGTATTGTCGGTGCGATGACCATAAATCGTCCGTCTGGCAGTCAAAAGCTAGAGAGTGAGCGTACATGGGCATACGTATAGGAGTACCGATTTCTTTTGATATGCCAACTGAAAACACTCCCAGGTTTCCTTCAACTGCCATGCCGTCATTGTAATCAGTGAACGATTGTTTTGAACCAGAACTATTTGTATTTATAATATTATACAAGCGTAGTAACTGTACTCACTTTCAGGTAGAGAATGCTATCGAGACATTGAAGATAAGACCAACAGCAACGCGTCTATCCTATCCTGCGTTGGAAGGCTGTTTACGCATGTTTGGCCTAAGTCGCTATCCCTGATGTTACTATTACTGCTACTCATGACCCCGCCGACCCCCTCCCGCGCCCCCCGCCTTCATACCACCATTTTGTTGTTGTTGTCGTCGTCGTCGTCGTTGCTGCTACTGCTGCTGCTGCTGTTGCTGTCATTTTTATTATCGACGCAGCATAGATTGATTATAGTTTTCTTTATGTGGGGCACCTCTCCAAGTTTTTCCAGACTTGTAGGTCCGACTGGGTTGGCTCAGGTAAATCGACGCTCTTGTTTAGCTTTCAATCGAACCCTCTCCTTTTCGTCTAGCTGCTAATATTACCCCTTGCGATGGGACGATTCATCACCTGTACTGAACTGATTTCTACGCACGTGGATACCAATAGGTAAATTGACGTGAAGCCCTGAAGAGCAGGCAGGAATGGTGAGCAGTAGCAATGGCAGCAGTAGTTTTGCCGTTGCCGCTGCTGCTGCGACAGCTGTATCTGACTGGTCCACAAGATCTTCACCACCGCACATTTATTCTTCTTATCTAGAATGAATGTCTGTAGTAGTTGGACGAAATAGTACAGATGGCTGACGACTACCATTAATTGATGACACCGCCGAAAATGCAGATCCCGGACGCAACTTACTCGTGGGCCCAGCAGGTAGCTCACACGTAACCTCTCTGTGTAATAGAGTCGGCCTCGTGAGGTTCCTCTTCTGTTTGGTACTTTTGGGCAGATCGACGTCATGATCCATTTGCTAGTGGTGCGGTTATGAGATGGCAAAGAATCGATGGTTGAGCATAAGATTAATGAAACAAGTAATAACGAATGCGACATTACGTTCGGCTTCATTATAATGATTCCCCGAGCTATTTAAACACGCCATGTCCAGCCGCTTGAACGAGATGCCTGCAACGCGATACAGAGACAAGCATTTACGATCACGGCCATAAAATAAGTGTGAATTTAAAATGTACTTCATTTGAAATTAACTAACACGTTAAACGTGCCACCTTCAACTTTGGCTCGCTATTTACAATTTTGCTTTACTCAACTGTTAGACGTTATTTTAGCTTCGTCTAAAAATCATTAGTCAAACAGAGAGCAAATCAGTTACCGCACTAAGAGCCTCCTCGTTGCCGTCATCATCGGCTAGATATCATCCTCACACATATACCTAATATGATATGGATGTATAATATATGTGGGTGGATATACATTCATATTGTGTATCAACGACCTATGCAGACATATAACTTTGGTCTTGATTCTATGTTATCTTCTTTTACGCCTCGCCTTCCTTCCTTCGCTCTTTCTAGAAAATTATCATCTGTCGGGGCAGTCGGATGGCCAGCTAAGCAATGATGTGGAGTGAGGCGCCCACCTTTGGTAATCTCGTTTGCCCAAAGCAACAGGGATGGCAAGAAGATGAAGCAGACACCAAACTCTCCGTACTAACAAGCGTTAATATTCACACAGTAGGAACTAACGGTATCGGAGGACACGGCATCGGTGGCCTTATAATGTTTACATTGACATGGCCATTTTCTAACGGTCAAGCAAGCATGAAAGGAGGTAAATGTGCTGCTACGGGCCTTTCCCGCTTTTTCGGACGCCATCGGGTTTCTTTGCTTTCCACTACTCCGCTTTCTACCACTGGTAGTGAGTGCTTTAAGTTTGCCCTTTCCCGAAACATCGTCTGAATTCACCTCTAAGGTCCACCAAGAACGTCTGCGGTTATGCTGCCGGCTTTGATGGTAAATGTAGCAGCGGTAGTACGATCAGTAGCGACCTCGGCTACTCGTTTTTGCCGCTTGGCCACCTTCGACGAGGTCCGAGTCGGCAGCTAAGGGTAAATTTGATGGTGGAGCGGGCCCCCGTCGAGAAAAAGAAATCGAGAGGAAACCTCATAAGGAAGGAATCCTGATTTGGTCCTCCTGAGGATTTTTTGTTCCGTTTCGTCTTGCACCAAACCAGAGGAGCAATCATAGCGAGTGGATACTCTTATCCAAGCACCAAAATAGCAAGTTCTAAGTATTGTATATCACGCCATTCTGTACAGACAGGGAAATCTAGACGCTTCATTTTCCATGCGGAAAAATGGCTTATTGTGTAAGCTTTCCTGCTATATTTTATAATGATATATTTTAGGTACGTAACGCGTACTCATAGAAAACGCATTCAGTCGTACATAGCGGTTCGTGCTTACACAGGTGATGATGTTCAGCGTAAGGCCATACGAATGGATATCATCTACGAGACGACTAACCTTTAAGGTGAGATGGAGCTGAGCACTTAGTTTCTAACGGTAACGAGACGACAATTTTGCCGCTAGACGAGTGCGCATACTGATAGAACCACGATAGCGAGCAGTCGCAATCCAATGGATTATCTGTAATGTAATTATGACATAGGTTATGTACGGGAGGGGAACTTCACCTATGTTCAATAAAACTGACGTTATCTATAGATTCTCACTCAATTTAGGAGTGCTTAGCTTACAACTTAGTAACATTAGGATTTAATTAATAAAACGGTAATTAGCATCTAAAGACCTTCCCTCGTAGATAGAGTTCATAAATCCCTGTCAAACTGTCGTTTCTGACCGTTTGCAATTGGCTGCTGCCGTGGCATTTTCTTTTTTAAATTTCTATGATGAAGTACTCTTGTAACTGCTCTTCTTCGGATACCTCCACAAATCATCTTTTCGACTTCTTTATAGGAAAATATAGATTTGTCTCTGATAATTCCCAGTGCCAGCTAGATCGTGATGGGCGTCCTAAGTAATTACGTTTCTAATTCAAGCCGCCCTGGAAGCGACAATATTTCCATCTGATCGTGGAGTTTAGTAGAAAACTGATTTAGTCCACAAGAGTTACTCTCATAGATAGTAAATAACTTGCGGCAAGGTAACAGTAATATTAAGAGTTCCTAGGGACTCTGCGTTGTTGACGTTCTTGATTTGTTACAATGTTTCAGAAAATGATATACTACAATTATGAATGATTGAATGAGCCACGGACTCTTGTATATGGGAGATCGCTTTTGAAGGGCCTCAAAAATCCTAAATCTTCTGTATTCTTTCAACGAGATTGTGTTAACTTTGCCCTTGACTCATAGACTTTATTTAATTAGTCTACGCGTTGATACGATAGTTGGCTGAGTTAGCCTTGTCGGAAGAGTTTTGCTACACCGCCACGCCGCTTTTGTGCCTTGTCCTCTGTTTTCCCTTATTCGCCGATAGGCGCAATAATTTAAGATGTTCTTCAAGGAACTTCACTTTTCTATGCCTTATGATAGAAAAGTTGTGATGCGCCTTTTTCGATGCGATGCATGCATAGTACTGTGTGTTTCCGCCAGTAAACAAATAGTAGGCAAAGATGAAAACGTGGGTAAACCCTGATTGAACCGTGTATTTTATTAGCGAGGGGTGTTCCGAGCTACTGGACGTTTATTGGAAACGTGGTTTACAATGGTCCGGTTCGAAACCGAAAATGTTTGGCATTCCGAACCATATTCGGTGTTGTTTATACCAAATCGGATATACTGCTGAATAATGCATACATTCCTTGGTAGCAATAGGTAAGGTCAGGTTATTCCTATCAGTTGACAATTATAATGCATGCGTACATGTTTAGGTCGAGAGCACAAAATCTACAATGTTTTATTTGAATAGGATAGCTTAAGACAACGGCTTAGGTGAAACGGTGGTGGCACAGCAGTGCTAGGTAGCAACCTTTTTCCAAGTCCAAAATGACAAAAAGTAACTGGTATCGCATTCGCAATGGAATAGGCAGTACCGAGTGAAAGATATAGTCTAAATAGACTGAGAAATAGAAGACTTATGAATCCTTGCTTCTTACTTAATTTTCTATCAGGTCAAACATTTTTGTAGACTATAGCAGATTCAATTCTATTGATATCTTATCTTCTTGTTGTAAAGAAGATCAGACAGCCTACCAATTTCCGTCGTTTTTGCTCATATAAGCCAGTACATTAGTAGGCCACAACATGTGATATGTATCTATAATGTAGAAAGAACTACAGAGGATACACGAGAAAAGTTAATAGTCAAAACATAGATCTAAGAGATAGACCACACGCGTCATTGGCGAGGTTTCGTTCGTGGGTTGGTTAGCGACCTTGACAGAGTAACAAGCGTCATCAGGATTGTTCGAAAAAAATACTTTCGCTTGACCTACGTCACACGATAGGCATGATCGAAACTGAAGTCTCGATAGTCCAAGCTAATTTATACACAGCAAACATATAATTAATTAGAAAATAAAGCTACTAAATCTTGGGCCCTAATACACTCTGCGCTTTATTTACGAAATACCTATGTTCGATGTTAGATTCGTACGTTGGCTTTGAGGTAACTGTTGGTGACAGTAACTTTCAGCTTGTCAGATAGAATGGAATATATGATGTGGAATACTGGAAACGTGATAATCACGCCTGGAGTACTAATGAATCGTGACAACTTTCTGTTCGTTTAAATAACGCTGGTGGCGGTCAACGAAAGTATCAAACTAACCAGCTACCTATGCATCCACTCAGAAAACTATTTTCGTGCAAAGTTTAACTTGTGTCTTGTACAGTTGCGCTGGCTCTGGTACGTTGGCCGTTATAATAAATGACGGGTATTAGACAAAATGGAAAATGATAGAAAAAGTTGTAGTTTCTATGCAGAGCATTCGTTTCCATACCGTGCACATCTAGAATAACAAGTGTGTCTGTGATTTTTTCAAACACAGAACGATGTAGCACCCGCAGTCGGTTGTGGTTAAGATAGAGCCACTCAAGGTGCGGCAGATTGGCGAAAGCCTCAGGAGACAATGATGCGATGCGATTATGCATCATATAAAGGAACTTGAGATTAGCTCCGAATGGCGAAAATGCGTAACTTTCGAGCTTGCTGATATTATTGCCGCGTAGATCCAGTTCACGCAGTTGAATCATGTCACGTAAAGGTTCGCTAGGAACCTCATCTAGGCGATTGAAGCCTAGTTTAAGCCATTCCATGGTTCCTGAAATAGCGATAACAATTATAGTTCCCATTAAAATTGTGTATACATTTATTCTAGATTTATCAGTCCTTTCTGACTGATACTGACTAACGTATGGAGCTAAACGTAAACTTGCTATGTTGATGGTGTCGTTTACATTTACTTTGGGCTGGCACTTTGATGGACCGATATTTCCGGCTTGTAAAATTTGCCGTCTAACACGAAACTAATTGAATTAATGTAGAAGTTAGTTCATGCTGCTGAAATATAACTTTCGAGTGGATCGGCATAACGTGCGAAGCTCCACAGTGTATTGAAGTCTTCAGCCGCGGAACTTTCATTTCAGAACTTAGCTCATCTCGCCAATGAAAAGTTTTACCTTGCCTATTAAAGCGATGGTTAACAAATATATATATAACAATATAGTAAGGAGAAATAGGTGGTTGAATTTACAAGAACACGTATCTATGGCTATGACAATTTAAATAATTTAAATTGTCATTAAATTTAAATAATTTTAATAAACACCCACAATACGCCGGTCTAATAAAAAAGGACAATGCTAGAAGAAGCATGTGTTCAAAGCCTGGATCCTGTTTGCTCGCCTCACTGCCCCTGAGAAACTAGCCGAGGTCGCTAATCTTGCGGGTTGACAGGTTCATTAAGAACGTAGCCAGGCGATACATGGAAACGGGAGTAAGAGCCTCTAACAGGGCAAATTTTTACGACAGCTACGCTGCTTTACTAGATACGAGACAAAAAGGAACAATGCTGCGTCGATTTTTCGGGGACCGAGGATCTGTTTTTGTGGCGTCACGCAAAATCAGCGGCTTAAAGGACCCACCCAAGCATGGCGTAATAAGACCCCTTAATTGATAAAGGTTTAGTGGCTTGGCACGTTGGGGGCAACAGGCACCAATATTAAACACACGACCGTCAAATGGCTGTAGGCTTCAACAATACAAGTTATGAATGGGCTAAGCCTTTAGAAAATCAGTATACTAAGACTAACAGTTCACTAACATTTTTAAGGAGTACAGAACACAT